TACTCTTGAAACGAGTGAAATGTCCGCCATTTTTTGTTTTCACAACCAAACAACTCAATCTCGTCCGCAGGTCTTCTCGGTTAACGGTGCATCAATTAACCTGCAAGAACGCTGCATTTTTGACGTCATTTCCTCGTTAAACACAAAATTCTTCCAAATTTGGTCATCAGTAACTAGTTATGGTGAATTATGCGTGTGCTTTTAGCCAATCAGAATCGGGGAAATATTTTGAATGAATAATAAGAGTCTTTAATCACCATTTTAACGTCACTTTAAACTATCTCAAATTTTTCTTACTGCTCTTTTCACAAACATGCGAATTCTGAAGTTCAAAAGCAAACTGACGATTGCGCTTTTCGCTGCCGTCAATCATCTTAAAGAAAACAAAACTTTTCTTTAACGGGCTCAAAAGGTTATGGTTTGTGATTTGTGATTGGTGGATTTTGATCCGTTTTTTTGTGTTTCTGTGTTTCAAGGTTCGTTGCTTGTGATCGTAATTATGATTGACAGCAGCGAAAAACGCAATTGTGAAGGCGGCTTTTGAACTTTAGAGTTCGCATGTTTGTGAAAAGAGCAGTAAAGTTACCAAAAAACGAAGCAGTTTTCAGGCTGAAGGCCTTGGTGTTTAAAACCCTCCTCGATCTGCATGATTCAGTCTTCACATCACATGAAAGCCCAATAATTTTTTTATTGATCCACTCAAAGTATATACAAGTATTGACAGTCTCAGAAACTAATTATCTTTGTCTAGGTTAAGTTTCCATCTTAAGAACGTGCGTTTGCCTGTTTCACGGCCCTTTTAGGATATTATACACTTAATGTCAGATCCCGAGGGAAAAGAAAACTAACTGGTTTCCCGCAAGGGACTTGACAAAGTGTTTTGTTACATTTCTTTCACTTCAACAGCAACAAAAGAATAACCGGAGCGAACCAAAATAGTCGACTCGGTACTTATAACAACACAAATTTAATTCTCAAAACCATTGAATGAATGATTTACAAAATACCGGATTTACTAAAATAGGCGCCCAACCTCGAATTAGCTACCGCCACTACTCCTCCCAATCAAACTGAAATAAGCGCTCAACCCCACCCCACCCGCTTGAGTGAATAAATTCTAATAAGAGACTTCCCCGCGGACGGAGTTTTCCTCAGAGTATTTTACAGAAACCTTGCTTTGTTACTTCTTCGCGTTTTGTTATTAGCATTTATTGTTTCGTTGCAAAATAAACATACTTCACTTGCTGAAAATGCTGAAAATTTAATAAGCGCCCAGCCTCGAATAAGCGCCCACTCTCAAGGTCCAAAAATTTAATAAGCGCCCAGGGCGGTTAATCGAATAAATACGGTACTTTCCTTATATTATCTGCATCTTTCTCCTCCACTAGCTGCTGTTTCTCTTGTGGGATAACGATAAAAGTCGTTGCTTTTTAGCTTGAGGCTTCGTGTTTGTGTTGTTGTGTTTATTCACGAAAAAGAAAGCTGGTAGTGTTTTTCCCGCCTTCTGTCACGCCACTTTCCACCATGCTTTGATCACGTGCTGTAATGTATCACGAGCCGGGGTACATTGCCTAATGTATCGGTCGTGACTAGAATGGATACTCCAAAATCAGGTATCCGCTCGGAGACTGCAGGAACTGATTGATGAAATTATTTTTCCGCAAATCGCTCCGACTCTTTACGACCATTTTTGTGTGGTATTTTCTGCTTCAATCGCAAATAGCACACCCCTTACTTCCATTTCTTCTTTTGACAACTGAAAACAGGGATGACTGGGGACCCCAACCAGTTTTTAGAAGATCACTTGTAGTTAATTGCTTCTGACGAGCTCATCATTAAAATGCAAAGCACAATGCATTTATAGCAAAATGTTGAAAGCCTTGGCTCACCTGATGAGGTGCTCAAAAGGCAATCAAGGAACTAGGTCATGGGGAGGGGAGGGAAAAGCTGAAAAAAAAACCATTAACCGAGAAAAAAATATTTCTGTACAGTTGTTCATCTGTTTATAAAATATTGCTTAAAATGAGAGAAGAGTGAATTCAAATTGCTGAGAACAACATTTAAGTTAAGTGTGGTTTACCATATTTTCTGATGTCTCTTTCTTTTGTTTTTGGATTGAAGAGATTTATTAACTGCCTGTCTTCTGCATAATTATTGTACCATTTTGTCCGAGGTTTGTAGTCGGTAACGTTGTCAGGTTGTTCCTGCCTTCCTCGTCAAAAACTGCATACAGTCTCTTGAGGACTGGAATTTCGGATGGTCTTTACTGTGTCCCCACGAAGGTGGACAGGAGCAGCGTTTGTCCTAGGCAAGTACCGCGTTTCTATGTCTTAGGCAAGGCCATGATCCTTCAGCAGGTACCCCTTCTGCCCTCGATAAAACTTATAAAATCAACACTCCGGAGCTGTTTTTGACTACATTTTTCTCTTCCTGTTGGCTTCTCCCTTCCTGGACTCATCACGCATTGGAACAGCGACATTATTCAGTAAGCAAATGGCGACGACAAGCTTTCGCATGTCGGCTCTAGATCTTTTAACACGAAGCACTTTTTTAGTGAAGGTCAAAAAAATTTAGTGAACTACTCAGATATTAAAGGGGTTCCATTCAATGGCTCAAGAGTCATTAAACTCGGGTGTCCCTAATTTTGATTCTGTACTGAGTTTATCGAAGACGAAATCGGCAAGATTGTTATTTGGTAATAATTCGTTGTAGACAGTTCACTCGCACACTAATTCCATTCTTGGAAACCAAGGGAGAATAATCTTTTGTGAAAACTAGTCCTGACTAATGACCTTTTTTCTTACCAATACATCTGGCTCGTGTTTCTCAAAGCTCCGGTCCCGCCTCAAGAAACTCTGCAGTTGTAGCTGCGCCGGTGGACATGCTTTTTGTCCATTGAAATAAAATTTAATTAGAAGACGTAACAAATAGCAAATCTTTGTCAAAACAGTCTTAAAACCACCGATGATATTCAGAGAAACCCTCCACTGGCCTTGGGCGTTGTCAAATTATGGCTCTTGCTTTTGATCAGTTTACTGGACTATGCCAAGAACAGACAATGGTCCTCCCGGATATCAAGTGCTGATTTCACCTTTTCTAGTTTGAAATGTCTACAATTTTGTAGCATGGTTTGCACTTTTTCCATGACCCCGTGACTTGGACACATCTCGAAAGTAGAACTAGTTAATTAAAAGTAGGGACTATATATTTCAAGTTGATCTTCTTTTTCTTGATTATAACTTTGACTGAGAATAATCCTTCGTTTTTTTCTAATTAAATTAAAAATTTAGAAATGCCTATTGACAAACAGGTGACCGTTAGCATGGGCTGGTCTATTTAGAAATATCATGAACATTTTATCTCTTCAAATAACTCCGATCCGCCCAGTTTTGGATTAGAAAGATAAGAAAAAAAGACGTCGCTGGAATATTTGGCTGCGTATGTTTATGAGAATTGAAATGCCTGTCCGTGAAAGAGAATTAAAAATTCTTGACGTTAATCTGTCACGCCGTTTTCTTCTGAGAAAGAGTTAGTTTCATGTACTTTCCTACCAGTCTACGTATGATACAGTTAACCTTCTTATTCCACGATGAGTTGAAGTGCCCGATGGGAGGGTTGAAAGAAATAACCGGTAGATTCGGATGTAGATTTTTCACTCCGAAAGACTGTCATTGGAGAAGTAATTGGAAGAAAATATGTTTAACAGATGAGGCCATCAGAAACACAATGAAAAGATGTGACGGTTAAAAAAAAAATTTGCATTGTTCAGAGCTTAAAAGAAAAACTAATAACATATCACATGTTTTCTTTGTATCATTTTCAAAGGGGTCTTCAAACACGTTGTTACGATTTGCAGAATGTCAATGAGGTGAAAAGCTGTTTGGTTTAGCTGATAACAATTTTAATTGTTATCAAACAGTTTTAGAATGCCTTGGTATTGTATCTTACAAAACTGATTACTTCAATGCGCGAGAGATAGTCAGAACCCTTCTTTTGCACTCCTTGTGTCACGTCCATATCCATTTAGTGTTTGTATTATTTTTTCAGCGCGATGGTGTACATTATAATGTCAGTTTAGCAACAAGAAGCTCGTTTATATACTTAACTTGCTAACAAGAATTAACAATAAACGGATGTCGGCGTATCAGTCATAGCGGAAGAGCGTAATCTTTCAGGTACTTGACTCGACTACCATAGCTAAATACAAAGTTACAGGTCAAGTTTCTCTTAAAATGTCAATCTGGAGGGGGCTGTCTTTGAATTGTATATAGAAGGGAATTCTCCTCGTCGTTTGCTTCAGCCAAAAGAATTGGATATGTTATATATTCAGGTAAAAAATGGGTCATGAATGAAGAATGCACGAACTGGTCTGACGTGGCAATGCAAAACACTAGGGAATGGGGGTTAGGAGAGTTGTTTGTGGACAGCCGGTAGTTACCGATTAGGCTTGCCGGACTCACTCTCGCATGCTTCGCACACCGGCTCGCTCGTCGAGCCTCCTGGCAGGCTGCTTCTCCCCTTACAGCGACGAGGTTGAAAATATGCCTATATATATAAACCGGAAAATATAAAAAGACAATTCATCATCCCAGACAATCAAAATGTCTAGTGTAATTTCCGTGCATACTTGAACTGGACACCTTCCAAGCCTGAGTTTATTAGTTCTCACCTAAGAAATCGGAACCGGAAATCCCAGTTCATCTCGGATATCAAATCGCTCGCTTCAGCTATGGTCGCTTGCCGCCCTTTTGTTATCTAGCAATCAAGACTGTGTTCTAATTATTTTGTCATCACTTTCGACTGTTATCAATCGAGAATAACGTCTCAGGCTTTTGGACAGAAAACGGCACTTAGCGGCGACTCAGCAACTTGACATACGGTAATAGCAAATTTCCCGAAGTCTAAGTGGATGGTTGTGAAATCGCAGCAGATCTTACTTTCTGGAATATTATAGTGGATAATTTTTCTGACTTCTCACTGGACGCGGGAAAGTTTACAGCATGAAAACTGCGGAGAGCACAATTTTTATCACGGCAGTTTTAGTTTCCGTTGCTGGTTTTCGTGGAGTTTCAAGGTCACACTCAAGCAGACATCTTCCCCTCTACGGCTACAACAATCCGTACGCCCAAAGGTAAGCTTATTACAGAGTGCGGTTTATTCTTAGTGTGATATAAAAATGACCGTTATTCCTAAACTTAGTAAGCTTCTCCTTGAAAGTTCTGAGATGTAAATTTTACCTGGCGTAATATTCAACTCAGTAATGCATGTTTTTCAGCTCATCGTAAACTCAGACGCATTGAAAAGAGGATTAAAATTGTTACGTCTTGCTGTTTTGTATAAGTTAACTCGCGAGTTTCCTTTTCCCAAAATGATGAACAAACGTAAGAAAATATGCTATTTTTCTTGCGGTGACTGAAACGTTTCAGGAAATAATTGTTTTCATATTGACACTAAGGCGCGAAGATTCGCCCCAAAATAAAGTGTTTTTAATAACGCCTGCCAGAGTCTATTTTCCATAAAAACAAAGAAGGTGCGAGGCAACTACAGTTCACGCAAACCTTGAATTCACGCAATATCAAACGTAGTGTGGTCAGCATCATATGCACAAGGCCTGTCATATGTCCTGCAACATTCTGTCACCTCTAGGGTAGCATTGCAAGACATGTAGGTCCTTGAAAAAACTGACTTATGCTTTTTCATGAATGGAACTGATGAGTACAAAAGTGTGTGATTATCGCTGGTTATGACAGAACAAACCCGGCGCCATAATTCATCAGAGTTTCAGTTTTCTGGAAACATTACAGATTCTGGTTTGTCCTTTTTGGCGTACCTAACTTCCAACCTTTGACATGCGACAGTAAAGTTTCATTATTTTCGTGACGAAAGAGGAGAAAAATGAATTGTTTAATACTTGATATCCTTTTGCCTCGGGGAAATACGAAAAGAATAATTTAACCTATCACTCCTGTATCACGCCATGTGGCGTAATTGAACAGAACTGTATGGAATACTGATATGAGCCAGCTGAGTCAGATTTCCGGATGAAAAGAAAAAAAAACCGGGATAATTCATAAACAATCGCTAACGAGAGATGACACCAGGAATTTGACTTTTTGTGACTATTATTGTTTTTGCCGGAAATTTTGTTTTGTTTTGGCTCTAAAATCAGACGAAATGGTCAAGAGTCTTTGTTCTGGGAAAGTTTGTATTTGGCGCGAAAACGTCATCTTTATGAGAGCCCGCAGGGTCGGATCCAGAAAATTCAGATAGCGGTGGCCGGGAAACTTGCCAGCTATATCGATTCCTTTTATTTTGCTGCCGTAATTGTAAAATTAATACAGAAATCAACGGAAAAAAAAGTGGGGGTGGAGGCGCCCCCTCGTCTATCCTTGAATCTGCGCATGGTCCCGATGGGGTTCTACAATCCTGTCATCCCGATGGTTATTTGACAGCATCCAGCATCTCATGCATACTTTTAATCCCGAATCTCGACTCAATTTTTTTTCCGTTCCCTGCTCCCCGGTGTTCCCCTTTTTAATTATCATTCCCTTTGGCTTTTAAATCCCCACTCACGGCCTGCCTTCAAATGAGGCAAGTCCCGGATCCCAAAAAACCTATTGAATACCCTCCTCAAAGATGTCACACTTAGCTCTTCCTCACTCAACTCAAAAGTACACTTGATCATAAAATGGAAAAAGTGAAATTTTAGAGGCTTACCAGAGCGCTACGAATTAGCCAACACAAGGCTCTTGTGGAATAAGTTAGTTGCTTTTCCGTAAAAAGCTTGCTTCCCGTAGAAACTAAGAATTATGCGAACAGTAAAAAGACCGCAGCTCTGGGGCGTTTCAGATGAACAAACAACAAATCGCCCCCGCTAACTTTTTAAAAGAAAATCGGAAAGTCACACGGCTATCTGCACAGTCAGACTCTTGTTAACCACCGATGTAATCTGTCGTAGCCACTAAACTAAAAGGAGGGTAATTACTTGTTGTTATCTCTTGAACATAGATAAATTATGATATTATGACCTCCCTGAAAGTATCGATTGCGAAAAGCTACACAGGATAATATAGATAAGACCACTGATAAGATATCTTGTTTCTGTCACTATTGATATCTACCACTACTTTTTACACATAATAGATTTTCATTTAGATCCTATACATATGACTGATTCACTTAGAATTAATATCCCTTTTAATTTCTGTCTCCATTTACTCTAAGCGCTTTTTGGGAGTAAAGAATATAAATTTTGGCCTTAAAGTTAGACGTTAGTACAACCTCTTTGTTTTAAGCGCTTATATTGGCATTTTACGCAAGAAAAAAATAAATCATTATGATTCTTCCTTGCCTTTGTGACGAACGACTCTCACACGATCTCACACCCTCTTCAGAAGCTTCTTTGTGTCGTAGACGGAAAAAATAAGCGCGCAGGGGACGACGGCAAGGAGAACTCCCCTTCCCGTCGTCCACAACGCGCTCACTAAAACCCAGGCGGAGTCTCTGCGGAGAAGAGAGTGCAACCGACTCGTTCTTAGGCCAGAGTATTCGAATTTCCCTGTCTCTTCCGTATCAGAAATTAAAGGAGAAGAGGAATGCAACTCCGCTAAAAACGATCTTTAATGTTGTTGAATGAAATGAAAGTGATAAAGTGATATAATAGCCATTTTCTGAAATCGGTTGCAGCCAACACGGTTTCCAATCAAAAAGGCTGGTACTCGATCCTTCAAACAAGCTACCGCTGTACAAACGTACCGGTGTCAAGGCACCAAGTCCTCAAATACAAAGCCAAGAGCCTAGTACCCAGGCACCATCTCAGGCCACCTCGGCCACTGGCGGACAGTACTGCTTTTACCAGAAGCCCAAGCAAGTGACTTGTAACGTAGCGCACATGAAAAGAGTAACCCACCAGTTCAAGTACTATTGTGGAACACAATCTCAGCAAAAAGTTTGTACTGGTCACAGGTGTGTTACAATTATAACTGAGTTAGACCATGAACAAACGCAAAAAACGTACGCTCAAATAATTTACCGTGAAATTCCGAAAATAAGCCCCTGGGCTTATATTTTTCAAAGGCCCTTTTTGAGGGGCTTGTCGTTGGAGGGGCTTATCTATGGAGGGAAAATTGCGTTTGAAAATCGATCGGGCTAGCCTTACAGTTGGAAGGATTACTGTTTTTGCTTTGTTTTACTTTGTATTTGAGGGCAATTTCCAAGGACAAGCCCCTGGGGGGCTTATATTTGGAGGGGCGGTTTAACGGAGGGTTTTTTGCTTTACGAGTTTTGGGGGCTTATATTTGGAAGGGCTTATACATGGAGGGGCTTACTTTCGGAATTTTACGGCATTAGTTGAAATCAAGTTCTACATGCTAACTTTTTTTTTTGAAAAAGAAGTGAATGTTTATTTATTTGTTTGTTTTCGCCACTGTTTCCTGCGCCTAAGACTTGGTTGCACGTTCCATGACGTTTGACACTGGTTTGATACTTGGTTACATTTTATGGCCCTTGATTTTCCCGCCTCCAGCTACTCTCGGGCCGAAGTCACGTATGGCGTGTGGACTGGAAGCGTTGCGTGACTCGGGCCAAGTGACTGCCAAAACAACCTGTCCCGTTCAGATAGTGGGGTGTGGCACAAAGTCAAAGAGCGGGTCGCTGCTCCCTGCTCACATCTCTTCGCGCCGTTCCCGAAATCTGAACGCCTGGAACGGGCTTCCCCGAAGAAGACAAGTAGAAGACATTTGGTTAACACTTGATTGCATGTTATGGCCCGTGACACTAGCTGCATTATTTCCCGCCCTTGACAACACAGTTTGCACAGTTTCTCACGCTAAATTAGCCAGTTTTCCCGTGCTTGTAATTTTTTGTCTTCCCGCAGCTTTTGGTGCCTCTGTTATATCATTTGCGTTTGTTTTTGTTGGCAATAGTAGTGGTTTCGAGTCCATCTTTGAACTCCATGTACGACCAATTTCCCAACGCACTACAAAGTCCGGCTACAGCTGAAACCTCCCGTTGACGATCACCTCCCGTAAACGACCGTAACAACTTTTTGGAGCATCAGTTCTATAACTTTCCATCGTTTTTAACCTCAGTTAAAGCATGGTCTAAAATCTTAGATTTTACTGTATGCACTACGATTTTCATAGTATACGTATAGAAAGAACTGCTAGTGACAACATGGAACTGTGTATTTTGTAAATTGCATGCAATAAATTTTCTTGCCAAATTTAATATGTTGATACCACTCCTCTACTCGGAAGTTTGGGAGCAAGTCACCGAAAATCCTTCGCGAAGAAAATACCCTGAGGATAAAGAACATACCCCGCGCATAACAATGCCACCAGCTACGCAGGCTGTACTCGGAAAAAACCCCTGTGGATCTATTCTCTCGTGAGCTACCGCTAAATCTTCTCGTTTATAGCGTCGCTTATAAGAGTTTCGACTTTATTTTCAGGGTAACCTATCGTCCGCAGTATAAAATAGAGGTGAGAACAGTGATTACGTCGGTCAAAGACTGTTGTCCCGGCTTCACAGGAAAAGATTGCAGTCAAGGTGGGTGCTATTCTATCAAAGTCAGTTCCAACTAAGATTTTTATCATGACTTTCATTTACATCAAGCCATCAACTGGAGTGTTTCTGTTTCAACAGCCTGTTTTAATTGCACCAAGTTTCTTTTGCTGGAAGCCAGGTTAAAAGCCTTGGAACAGGTTAGTAACTGGTATGAAGATCGAATTTCAAGGGGAAACATGAATAAAACTAACAAAATGATAAAGTGCCCCGGCGTCGCTCTCGCGTGTCATTTCGTACGCTTGACTTCTCGGAGAGCTTGCTCGCCGCGTAACAGACGAGCCAGGTAACTGGCAGGTAACCCGCGTTTAGACTGAAGTTCAGCATATGTTCCACGATGAAGACCAACTGAAGTAGCTCTTCTTGTTAAGAGGCTGCTATGTCTTTGAGCTCATTTGAAAATAGTTTCATTTTTTCGATGTTCCGTTAGAAATAGCTTGTTGCTTTGATTTTTACTTGTTTATTTATTAGTTGATTCCGATTTGTAGAGAACCAGCAACTGAACTCTTTGATTTGTAGTGGTTGTTTTACCGTTTCAAATTTTAGACTCCACCTTCTACTTCTAGCATGCATGCAATGAACGCCTTGGAATTTATTTAACTTACTGGCCCTATGGTTAAAGGTTAAAGCAGCTTGCCCATTTTCTGTTTACTTTTTAAAGAAAAGTCAAAAAGCTCCTGCCAAGGCGATAGTTCGGGACAGCGAAATCTCAAGAGGTCCACCCGGACCCCCGGGCCACCCGGACCCCCCGGGCCCCCGGGAAGACGAGGAGAAACCGGAGATCCGGGGCCTCCAGGCTTAAACGGAGTCGAAGGTGGGTAGGATATCAATGGAACTTAAAAACGCATTAACATTCCTAGTATGCACTTTAGCATAGGAAAGCGAATGTAAATTAACTGTTTTGTTTTTGTTACTTTCAGGGCAATCACGTGGTTCAAGTGTCCAGAAAGGGGAGAAAGGAGATCCCGATGAGCCGGGTACCACAACAGTAGTGACCGGAGACCCGGGACCACCTGGATCTCCAGGACCCATGGGACCCCCGGGATTAAAGGGGGAACTTGGAGAATCAATACAAGGAGCACGAGGACCCCCTGGACTTCCGGGTCCAGCGGGAGAACCTGGCCGCCCAGCTATCGGAGCCTCGGTGAGGTTTAAAAGGACGATCTTAGTTTTAATTACTGAAAGGCCTTCGCGTAATTGGTCATCCAGAGAAAAACGATAGGGTGACGGCTATTCTTAGAGTTATTCCGTGGAGTTAGAGTAAGCCTCCAAAATCCTAAGCTCATGATTTTGGAACGGTAAAATGCTTTCCCAGGTGGAAAATGATCGAGCCCTCTCCCATTTACAAATATTGCTGTAAATCGACTAAATGTTTCCTTTTTATTTTTTTTTGCGCAGCGTTGTTAGTGAAATTTTAGAAAGTTTAGACTGATATGGAGGAAGTAGTGCATGCCCATCCGCCCTTTCGCTCTAAAGCCTGATACTCGCTTTTAAAAAAGAGTACAAGCAGGCCCGTAGCCAGCTTTTCGACTCGAGAGTTGTAGGGCTGGCTACATTTCCACATATCCTGAAAACTGCACGCATGACTAGTGCGCACTGACCTCACCAACACTTTGAGTTCTTAAGCTCTTTAGCTCACCCCAACAACGCATAATTTACTACAAACAGTGGACTAATCAAACCGAAAATTTGTAAGCCTGGGCCTACAGGTCTATAGGCTGGCTACGTTCCTGATTGTGATTGTTCTGTATTGCACATTTTTCTTTCTGAAATAGCGACATTTAACATCATTTCAATTTGCTATTCACAGAGAGCCTACAAAAAGCATTTTTTTGGTAGACATGACGCGTGGTAACAAAAAGGTCTTTTTGTATTTTCAGCCTGCAGATTTAACCGCTCTTAAAGATCAGATGAAAATGCTGACTGCCATAGTCATGGAGTTGGAAGAAAAAAGTAAGCAAAACAAAGCATGAGTTTCTTTTTCTATTTAAAGATAGTTATAAGCCCCGGGGTTATATTTTTCAAAGGCCCTTTTTGAGGGGCTTATTTCTGGAGGGGCCTATATTCGGAGGGGCTTATGTACGGAGGGAAATTTGCGTTTCAAAAATTAACTGAGCTAGCTTGTAGTGGAAAGGAAATTTACCATTTTTGCTTTGTTTTAATTTGTATTCGAGGGCAAATTCCAAGTACAAGCCCCCCGGGGGGCTTATATTCGGAGGGGCGATTTAAAGGAGGGTTTTTTGCGTTACGATTTTGGGGGGCTTATATTTGGAGGGGCTTATTTTCGGAACTTTACGGTAGCTTTGTTTCTTCAGGCAAATATCAGTTAAAATTCAAAGGCAACATTTTTTGGAAGGGCCGTCTGGTAGTCTGCTACACAGCCGTTATTAGTGTCGTCACGCAACGTTTCTCCCCACTAACTAGTGGGGAGGAGCGTTGCGTGACGACACTAATAACGGCTGTGTAGCAGACTAGCCGTCTGGTGGATACCGCTGAGTAGTATTTCGAGGATGCTTGAACCAAGTCATTCAAAATGGTGGCATCCCATGAATGCTGGGAGGAGAACTAATGAAAATGGCGACCTCCCAGTAGGGTGGTTAGACAAATTGGTACAAACCGGTTTTTCTGAGGTGGTTGGATGGAGAAGCGTGAGGTGGACGCGTGTTTTTGTTATTTTGTAAAAAGATGTTATCGAACGAGTCTTACGTCTAAATTGCGCAGCAAATTGTATGTTCCTTGGCGTATTCTAATGAGTTTTGCCTACTTTCTCCAGATTGCAACTGCGATGCGTTAAGGCCGCGGTACACACTAGGCGACAACTTGTAGCAAATGATGTTGTGGTGACACGTCGCAGCGACAAATCGCTCCGTGTGTACTGGAGAACTTTTGTGAAAATCTTTGTCTCACAAACCACTCAGTTTTGGATTGCTACACCACTATTAGCAGCTAGAGGTAGTCGGTTAGCAGTTTCCTTCTTGCTGATTGACTCTGACTTGATCTTGTTTGCTTAGTTTCCAGGTGTGAGTGCACTGCTGGGAGTCAGCGAGGTGTGGCTAAAAAGAGCGACGCTACAATGTACCCTTCAACTCTACCGAACATTGAATCACAGACCACAAAAGTCACCACTTCAGAGCCATTGTTTGCTCCACCCGCCAGACGTTGAAAACGATCCGCACGTACTTTCTATTAGTAAACACTGAAAATTTTAACCACAATCATTGCCATATGATATGCAATATTTTGTAAGTCATAAGTTTTAAAGCGGATTTAAAAACTCATGACGTGTCGCCAGCTTCGACATAAAATGCCCTGCACATGCTGTTGTTAGCTATAATGTTTCGGTCAAATCGAAGCTTCAACATGCCCCCCCCCCCCCGGGCATACCCCGGGCATTTGACACCTTTGCCGTCCCGGGGAGGAGGGAATTTGATGATCAGATTCTTCCAGGGGGTGGGGAATTTGATCCCCATGCTTTAGGGGTGGGGAATTTGAACTGTGCCCTCGATTTCATGTAAAATCTTTGGCGTGGTGAGCTATCATGGGGGACGCGGTGTTAGAGGATTTTCGTGGAAAAGATTGTGCCTTTGTGGCCAATTGGTTACGAGGAAAGGGCTTAAGCAAGCTTTGTGCCGTATTTGAAGTATTTAAATTTTAAATATGAATGTACTTTTTATTGTTGTGTTTGCATTGAAATACAATACCTATACCGGCAATTCAATACAACAACATAAAATAAAATAAAATAAAAAGCTCAGGTCAACTACTTTGACCTTCTGCAAGTATGTTAATTAATAAGGTGAGCGATGATGCATTTCAGTGAAATAGTCATGATGTAGTAATCTCAATAGGTGGAATCTTTTTTTATAGAACGCTTTGTATATATGTTGCATGACGAAGAAAAGCTGAGCATTCAGTGACCTTGTAGCAGCGATTTCCGCCGCTTTGCACGAGACTTTTGTTCGTAGTAAATACGCTAACAGTGTTTCTCAGTTTTTGTTATATTTATAAAGATTTTGTTCGACAACTGAAGGCGTTTCCGCCGTTCTTCTGTCATTTTTGTGCCTGTGAAATGTCCCCAGGGTGGGGGCATTTGATCTCCTGAATGGACCCTAGTGTGGGGCATTTGAACGGCATTTTGGCCCGGGTAGGGGGGAATTAGAACAATAATTTTCAAAAAAGTCAAATGCCCGGGGGGTTACCCGGGGGGGGGGGCATGTTGAAGCTTCGATTTGACCGATACATAAGTTTTAAGAAGCAATGTTGTGACAAGGTTCTGGCGATTGTGGTGCGAGTTCTTTTCACTAAGGCAAAAAAGAATTCCAAAAAGCAATTGGGAAACCGCTACTCACAGGAAAACTGTATAGGTATTAGCCATGGAGCATATCTCTTACAACGAAACGTTTGATTCTCTGTCTGGATTCCAAGAGACATTCGAAAATGAAGATTGTGCGTACGTCATCTTAGCATAGTAGATAAGAAGGAGTAATTCTATATATAAAAGCTACTCCAGTTTTCGGCGACAATTTACTTTAATTTGCGAATGTTTTTTGACTATTGTACTCGCAAAATCGAGGGCATTAGAAACGTCAAAGCAAGTGTTTTTGACCGGAAGTTGTTGCATATTGCTCAAATTTGGACTTCTGCTATCGACAGATAAGGACAAAAAAAGCCCTGAAAATTGTTATTAATGAGTATTCTCACCCATGGCAAGTTCTGCCAACTGCTAGATTTCAAGATGCATTCTTTTCTCAGTGTATGTTCATTTTAATTTCAGACTATGAAAAAGTTCTCTTTTCTTATAATGTATATAATTTTAGTCTTGTCGCTATGTCCACAAAATAACGGAAGTCCATTTTTAACCAGTGTTTCCATAAGTCAAAATACTATTGCAGTTTTGGTGCACTGAAAGAGGTTTGTTATTTTTATCAAAGTCTGTTTGAGAGGCCAAACATTTTCAGTACAAGTACTAAAGTTACTATCATCACCCTGGGGCCACAGAGAAAGAATAAGAAAGCCTGTTCCTGGCTCCGAGATAGTCGGTTCCGCGAAATTGAGAAAGCGCGAACATAAAAATAAAAAATGATAATAAAAAAATAGAAAATAATAATAATTAAAAAACGGGAGAAAACTGGGGAGAGGAAGGGCTTCCTTTTTCTCGCCACCGCCCAATTTCCCAGATCACGCGTTCATATTTTCGCGTGTTTTTCACTTACGCGGGAGATCTGGGTGCGAGATTACGTCATCCCTACTACCTTAGCCTGCGTAGCAGTCAGGCACTTGGAAGTAATGGGCGCCGGAAAGAACGGGGCGCGCAAGGGAGACACCCTCTTCCCTCGCGTGTCTCTCTCGCGCGCCCCGTTCTTTCTTCCGCCCATTACTTCCAATCGCCTGCTACGTACGCAGGCTACTACTATCTAAAGGTGATGTTACACGAGACGACGACTTTTAGTGCGACACTGCGTTGCAATGTTGCAACTATTCGAAACAACCTCGCAACAATGTTGTAATGCTGCGCTAAAAATCGTCGCCACGAATCGTTCCGTGTAACATCACCGTAAGAGCCTGGAACAGGCTAGAAAAAGATGGCTTGAAAATCAACAGGAGCAAGTTCTATAAAACCTTATAACTGTTGAGACGTCTAAAATTCAGCCCAGCCAAACTCTTTGTTTCAGTCAGACGTTGGAGGCTCCGATGCTAGCATGTATGCATGTATGTAGCATAAAGAATAATGCATAAATTGCTCATTCACGCTCTGAAAAGGTTTTAAAAGATATTACTGATAAATATTTCAAAATTTTGTTTATTTTCTTCATAGCTTTATACCCTTGATTGTTTTACTATTTTCACAGCCATAAAAAGCGGCTTCCGGCCTTGTGAATACTGGATTTATTTAGGTGTTTATACAAAAATGGTTTCTTCCTTTCTCTTCTTTGTAAGCACTGTGCCAGGTTTGTGCTGTGCATCAGGATGTTTATCAAGCTCCGGAGGACAGTGGCTCACCTATAAACGACACAGAAATAAGCCATTTACTAAAGACAATGTACCCCTCCCCCATGTCATAACCGCTGACAACTGTTCATGTTAGTGTTTTTTGCTTGTTATTCGCCATAGCACGACTAAGAATCCATTCGCTTATACATAAAATAATAGTAAATACGAAAATTAGTCTGATACTTAACTAGCGCCTGGTTAAAGATTTAGAGCACTACATTGGCCCTGTAACACTCAATTTTCGCCTAAGACACTATAACCCTTTTAACCAAAAATATTTTACATTAAATGTTAAATTTTGGGCAAACAAGAATAAACATTTTAACCCAATTCAGACTCAGATATGAACAATAAAATTCATAAACAAAATACAAGATTTGCAAGAACATAAATCAGTTAGTTATAGTAGAATCAACTTTCAGTGAGTGGAAAAATGGGTCTTTTGACGCTCTGTAAAATTGAAAGCATTGTACTTACGGGACTCGCTAATAATGTCTGCTTGAGGTCATAAAACACTGCTGAGTCCTCCTGGGTCAAAAACGTGATGGCAACACCGGTTTTTCCTGCTCGACCGGTTCTACCAATACGATGAGTGTAGCCTGATAAAAAAAAATGAAAACAATGACATGTTAGCAGCCATAGGCCACTGGCTGTGTGGTGGCTCCCGTAAATTTAGGCAATAGACCTTCTTCACAGTACCTGCCACATTTGGAAGCGACTAAGGTTGATGCGATGGGATGTCACGTGGTTTCTCATCTGAGGGAATAAACAAACTCGGCTGCGATTTCTTTTATTGACAGCTTTTAATAAGTTTTTTGCCTCCTTAGAAACCACACGATATTTCCTTTATCCCATAAATCCTTTCGCTCGTGAGATGGCGCGTATCGTGAATAAGGTCTATTCCAGCACTCACGGAATAGACATAATTTGACTGAAACATCAAAATAATCGTTCAAAATTGTCAAAGAATTACAATAATATAATACATAAAACCAAAAGTGTACAATCCATGGATGAAGAAATGAGACAAAATTAAACGCATTACATACTGGTTAACTCCGTACTTAATAAAGTTTGTATATCGTAAGATACGATTATCAACACCGTTCGTCTCGATGAATTACTTTTACTTTAAGCTTAATGTTTCAATGTTAAACTCATCACTTACCTTCGATTGACTTGGCCATGTCATAGTTAAGAACAAGTGAAACATCCCTGGAAGAGAAATGAAATAAAGAAATCAACTTTGAGAGATTTTACTTGCGCTATAAAACACACATTTAGTGAAGAAAAAAAAGAACTTCATAAGTTTGACCATCAACCCCGTTCCCAGGGTTCTCTCCGATTAACCGGTCTCCAGGTTGGGTTTGTTGGCCTGGAGCCAACAAAAACAAGAAAACAAAGAAATCAAACTGTTTATCATGAAACTTACTTGATGTCAATACCACGACCGGCTACATCAGTGGCCACAAGGATGTCCTTAGCACCAGCTTTAAGACTCGACAATGCAAACTCTCTGAAAGAAAACCAACAAAATGAATCTTTATGACAGGTTCAGAATTAAGATGCAGATGTTACGTAACCGCGTATGTTCGACTCAGTTGACGAACTAATGAAGCTGAGTGTAGAGATGCATGGCAAAAATGTTTGCAAGGTTTAATCAAGCAAACGACAGCGGGCTCGTCGTGCTTGCTAAAAAAAGAAAGGCCCGATCGAAGATTATCGTTGACAGAGCTGTTTAATCTAAAAACGGTTTTTTTTTCGGGTTTATTTGTCATTGCCTAAATTGCAACTACCACTTCGACGATCATATCTCCATAAAATTTGTACTTCGGCAGTTCACATCGTCTTTCATGTTTTATTCCTTTCACCGGTGAAGGTGAACTCAACAAATTGGCCTGCTCCCAATATATGGGTCTTCATAGCTCAAATGGTAGAGCACTGCAGCGCTAACGCAGAGGCCATGGGTTCGATGAAGTCCCGAATTTTTTTTTTCGGGTTTATACATATTTGTAATTGCTTAAATTACAACTACCACTGCGACGATCATAACTTCATGTAAAAAACGACAACACTGGTGTACAAAACAGTCGCGAATTTCACTGAAACATCCTTCCATCCGTCCAATACCCTTGTTCAGGCCCTTGTTTTCTTAGTTTCCTATACTCTCGG